ACTGGACATATGCGAAATCAGCGACTCGGGTACCTCGGGGACGCTACCCCCCGTACTCGCTTGCAGACCCCTCCTGCAAGCGAGCCCCTGAGGGACCACACTTTTACAATACACACCATTTTACAGTATAAAGTTTGCAGCTATTTGCTCGGTATAATCCCCGATTGAAAAATCATTGCCATTGGCAACATTTTCTAGGTCGATAATGATACCGATTGCCCGGATCTCACCGCGAGGAGGTTGCTGCTTTAGAGACCCGAAAGGGAGTCAGAGCGAAGTCGGAATTCGCTATGGCTCCCTTTCTTACAACGACGACTTATAAACTAACACACACGCTCGCCTGCTAGCTAGCACACGCCCACACTCACTCACACGTTCGCATATGTCAAGTACTATTGCGGACCAAGTGGATCAAAGAAGAAGTCTCCGATCCACGGGGACCAAAATGAATCAGTGCAGATGGCAGTGATTCTTTCAAAGTGAGAAACAAGTGCGAGTCAGGGCAGAAGGCACTGACTCGAGGGTGACGCGACGCGTACAATGCTCGCACAAGTCTGGAGCCTCGCACATCACGATGACCGGCGCGATCACATGAGGAATGATGATCCAAAGTTGGATCATCCCACAATGGGTCGGATTTCTCGCCCTGCGCCCCGCCCCCAAGAGAGAGCTAAGGACGGCTTATATAGCGAATGTGCCAAGCGAGAGCCTCCCCAGAAGGAGGGTCCGCGTTCGAATCACCACGCCGCATGGTCACTCGTCGAACATCGAGATGTGTCCGGACTTACCCAAGAGTATGCGCAAGCAAGGCCACCACAGCTATCTGCAGTGGCGGAATCAATAACGAAATGCGAAAAAGTAAAGCTAAGGCAATACTACTGGACATATGCGAAATCAGCGACTCGGGTACCTCGGGGACGCTACCCCCCGTACTCGCTTGCAGACCCCTCCTGCAAGCGAGCCCCTGAGGGACCACACTTTTACAATAGACACCATTTTACAGTATAAAGTTTGCAGCTATTTGCTCGGTATAATCCCCGATTGAAAAATCATTGCCATTGGCAACATTTTCTAGGTCGATAATGATACCGATTGCCCGGATCTCACCGCGAGGAGGTTGCTGCTTTAGAGACCCGAAAGGGAGTCAGAGCGAAGTCGGAATTCGCTATGGCTCCCTTTCTTACAACGACGACTTATAATCTAACGCTACCTTCCGTACTCGCCCACGGGCCTCACCCATGAGCGAGCCCCTGAGGGACCTCCGATCGGAGGAATACCAATTTCATCAATTTTTGAACGAAATCTTGTTTCGAAAGCCGACTTAAAATATAAATCGGCAACAGCACAAAAGTGCAATTTTTCAGAATATGGAAAAATCGTAATCTAACAAACTTAAGTTAAGAACGCTAACGTACCCCCCACGTGAGGAGATTGACTCCTTATATGAGAATTACAATTTGATTTTGTATGCCAGAGAGAAAATCAAAGTGAAAGTGACAAAGAAATGATGCAGCGATCCTTGGAACGGCTACTCGCAGTGCGGCATTTATTTCGCGACTCTAACATAACGCGTTGGCAATTTTCGCAACTCTAACACAAAGAATTGGCAATTTCTTGCGACGCTAACACAATGCGTTGTTAATTTCGTCTCGCAACTCTAAGGAAAATCGCGAATGCCTGCACTGCGGAGGGTTGCAGCTGCGGCATGGGCTCTGAAAGACGAACGAAGCTATTGCAACGCGATTATGTCGTCGCGACGCTAATTCAATGAACAGAGATGCAAAAGCGAATGGACTTTAATGATCTTCGAAATCTTCTAACTTAAAACGCGATCGTATTTATTCGCAACGCTATCTTTAACGCTTCTTGCATATCGAACCTAATGAAATCGCGATTATTTCATTCGCGACGATATACTTTGAATAATCAATTTCAATGCTAATGATAATCGCAATGGTTTTATTCGCTACGCTAATTTTGATCTCTGTTGAAAATGAAGCGAAACAATGCGAGATTCTTTCGCAACGCTATTGCAAGTCGCGGATGTGCCCATCTGCGCTGATCGTTGGGGCGGAAAAGCCAGCCCAAATACTACTACTACTACTACTATTACTACTGCAGCAAGTACAGTGACCAGTTAACAATACATATACATAATAATATACATGATAATATACACAATAATTTTTGTCTTACAATAGTATTAACCTGAAAATAAAGAATCTGAAAATAAAGGACCTGACAATCGTAGCTAAAATGGGGTTATTAGTTTCAAATTATTCTTCAAAATCAATTTGTTTCGACGAATGCGTGCGAATTTAATTACTCGATAATTAAATTCAAACGGGTAACGCAAATCATCGAAAAGAAAACATCCTAACTACATATGCGATAGAATTCGCAATAAGTATGTGGTCACTGTACTCGAAAAATTGAGGAAACTACTGGTAAAATAAGAGCATGCGACTTACATTTCGATGCGATGTTGGGTCTGGAATTTGTAGTAGGAAGAAGTAAATGGAAGTAGGAGCGGAGTAGCAATAGCAGCAGCAAAGACAGCAGTAGGAGAGAGGAACACACATCTCAGATTTTAATCCAAGATATTAATTTCCATTTGGACAGGATTTGGAAATTATTGGAAACCACCTGGAAATTCGCGTTGATATTAGAGATACGATTTTGCCAAACAACTGTTAATAATAATTTTACACCGACTGTTAAATAAATTTAGATTCGAATTAAATAGAAAATTAATTAACTTCGATTATAGAAGGAAGCAGAGCGAATTTCTATTAACACGAAACTTTCCGAACAAATAAAATTGATTGTGCACTGCCTGACACGAGTGAAAAAAACCAATTTACTTAGATTTTGTACATTTTCTGTTATATTCTGTTATAGTAGTTGTTCCAACAATTAATTAAGTAATTTAACGCAGTAATTTTCCTTGAAAATTATATTATATCTTAATTCTTAACAATTTAATTTATAATATCACTTTTGCAGGAGCTTTCCTGATATGCAACTGATTTTTCCACTAAACGAGTAACGACTAATCGAGCAATGACTTTGAGTCGAGCGAGCAAACAAAGGACAAACGGATTTAACAAAACGCAAAGAAATTTAACCTTGCCTTTGACGATCAACGCCAGCCGATCGTCCTAGTCTGCGCCCCATGCCAGCGCATGACGTCAGCCGACCGTTCAGCAGCCGCCGGCAACAGCCGATCATCCTAGCCAGCGGCCGACGACAGCCGATCGTCCTAGTAGCGTCACAATTCGCAATGTTTATATCGCGACACTCACGTACGCACGCACACGTACATCGTGTGGGGTAAACGCCCGGGAGCTGCGAAACCGATCGACTACGTAATTTCGAAGGTCGCTCCGAAGGCGATTCTAACACAACGCGTTAGCAATTTCTCGCCACGCTAACACAACGCGTTGTTAATTTCGTCTCGCAAGTCTAAGGAAAATCGCGAATGCCTGAGCACTAAGTTTCCTTTAAACTTATATTATATCTTACTTCTTAACAATTTAATATATTATAACTTCACGCGCTAATTTTCCTTTAAAATTATATTATATCTTAATTCTTAACAAAGGATTCTTATTGCAAATGGTATTATTAAATAATCTCGTGGCTATTTCGTTGTAACATTTAGTAGTGGAGGTAATTAATAACGTCGAACATACGAAGTAATTTTTAAAGCACGAATTTATCGAAGAATCGTTACATCAAAAATATTCTATCGATGCATTTATTATTTCTAGCTGTTTTAATAATAATTTAGAGATAGTAGGTTTTGGAAACTATTCTATTTTTTAAGGCGTGTTCATTATATTATAATCCCCTATCGTTATTCGTATCTTAAACCGTAATCGTGATTGTATAATCGTAAATTGCCTTACGACGTTCGTCGCGTTCTGTTGTGTTCTGTCGCGTTCCCTACGAGTGCGTCCTTTCGACTTTGTGGGTTTCGTTCAACTAGTGCCCGACATCCGCCGATCGTCCTAGCAACCCCCGACGCCAGCCGATCGTCCTACCTGCGCACGATACCAGCCAATGGTCCTAGCCAGCGCATGACGTCAGCCGACCGTTCAGCAGCCGCCGGCAACAGCCGATCGTCCTAGCCAGCGGCCGACGTCAGCCGATTGTCTTAGCATCGTCACAATTCGCAATGTTTAGATCGCGACACTCACGTACGCACGCACACGTACATCGTGTGGGGTAAACGCCCGGGTGCTGCGAAACCGATCGACTACGTAATTTCGAAGATCGCTCCGAAAGTGTTAACCTTCGGCTACAATAATTATAAGAATTTCTTTTCCTAATATGAAACCTTCTAGTTCTCTCTTGTCTGTTTTTCTATCTAATGTTTAAAAAAATTTAACTAACACAATTCGAGATAAAGAAAAACTTTGGAAGAATAAATATTCGGTAATCTACTTTCACATGAATGATAGTCATAGATCAAGTACGTGTAAACCTCTTGCGAATATCATATTTTTGCATATTTTAATAAAATTTTGACAATTAAATCAAAAACTATTTTCAAGATTTATTTTCCATATTTATCAAAAATATCAATCAAAATTAGTTAAAAATTATTGCTTAACAAATGCAAATAATATTTAATTACTTAAAGTCAAGAATGATTATATTTTAAATATTTTTAGCGAACATTTCATTGCAGTAGCTCCAATGGTTCAAAAGTTATAAGAAAACATCGATCCGAAGAATATTTCTATTTGAATTGAGTTTCTTTTTCATTCGGTGGCTCCATCTCGCATTTATCAAGCAACTGCACATGTCTAAATAATATTTATATAACGAAAACTATACAGCAGATATCGACCTGCAGAATCCGTAAAGTCATGTGACTACTCTAGCCCCTTAATTTGTACATCGTTAACGGATAAATCAATTCACGCTTATCTCTTCGACAATTTATTACCGAGGTTTTTCGCTTGTTAGTTCTTCTTGAAATCTGAACAGCTCTCTCGTCGCAACTAACAGCGCCCTCTGCAAGATCCGCTTCTATAAACCCATTCACTTCGCGTTCGTGCTTGGCCATTTCTTTTCCGGTTTATCAAAATGGTAAGGCAGTGAGGTGAATTCGCTAGATTCCGAAAATCCATAGACATTCGGCACATCTCTGTGAATTGCAACGAATACGAATCCTAATAAGATTGAGAAAGTGTTGAAGATGGTTAACGAAAATTATTTCCGTTGCAGGGTATTGACATTAATCATAAACACGACAGAAAGGTTCGGCGAACAGAACCTAAATCGCAAGATGTCTACTTGCGACTTCTCGTCAAGGTAAGCGCTATCACGTGTTAAACAGTTTTTAATCACGGCGTTACACAGCGAATGCTATTTAAGTCCTTCCAATTATATTTAGCTGCTTGATAAGTAATTTGTTAGACATTAATTAATATTACTTCGATAACATGATTGTGTACATTGTGCCATAGCATTTGTTGTCAAACACGTGAGTTCTAGATGCGGAAATTTATTTTGCGAGCCGCACTCTGTGTTAGTACACTTTTTGTACTAATCCAATTTGAACGTTCGCTATAGAAAAATCTAGTCAATTTTCCTATTCCGTCTGGACGCATCAAGCTAAGGATGATTATATAAATTGACACAATGCAACCTATAAAAACCATAAAAATTTACATTCAAAAGTAAATCTCTTCTATAAAGTACTTTTGTATTATTTTCTCCGAATTTTTATGGTAATTTTTCTTTCATAAAGTTGTGCTACAAATATATGAGATTCTATCACTGTTATAGCTATACCGTTTCCTGGCCAGACGTACAAACTCCAAATTCAACAAGATCATTCTTAAAAGACTTTTTATGAGCAAGATTCATCGCCCGCCTATTTCTCTTGCACGCGTTGTCAGGTTCATGAAGAAACCTGGACGTGAAGGTTGCATTGCAGTAATCGTTGGCACAGTAACTGACGATGCTAGGATTTTTGAAATTCCTAAACTTACAGTGAGTATATTAGCAAAATAAAAATTAATTTTTTAATATTTCTTGATTCAATAATTATAAGTTATTGGTTTGTGATAGGTCTGTGCTCTACGTGTTACTGAGAAAGCTAGAGGCCGTATCTTGAAGGCTGGAGGTGAACTGATCACTTTTGATCAGTTGGCACTGCGTGCACCTACTGGAAAGAGGACAGTCTTGATGCAAGGACCTCGCAAGGCACGCGAAGCAGTGAAACACTTTGGACCAGCTCCTGGTGTGCCACACTCGCACACTAAACCCCTAGTACGGTCTAAAGGAAGGAAATTCGAGAGAGCAAGGGGCCGTAGGCGTAGCTGTGGTTATAAGAAATAAATATTGGTTATTTGCCGTCATTTATTGTACCTTACCCTTGAGTTAACTTGCAAAAGTTAGGCAATCTGTCTATTTCTACTTTCTTTTATATTGCAAGCCAAGGTGGCCGGAAAATAAATGTAGGCTTCTTCACAACAATTCTGGTATTTTTAATTCCTCTGTTTTAACGTGACTGCATATATTTTTTAATAGTTTATTTATCGGTGATAATATAATAGCCTTTGAAAAATTTAAAATATAAATCAGTGAGATCAATTTGACCTGTACCATCTCCGATGACTAAAATATTAATTGAATATCAGTAATAAAAATATTTAGAAGTATATATGAGTTCGATAATTCATGTTTGTGGTTCATTGTTTTCTTCAGAATTCTCTGGCACTTCCTCCGGTTTATCGTCATCATCCGACTGCGTTTCTTCTAAACCAGTAACATCCGGAAAATATAATTGCGATTCCTCGGATCCCTTTTCTGGATTTTCACTAACATGATACGGTCCAATACCGGCGAATCCCAAGAAGGCTTCACATCCTACTTTCTTTACCACACACACAAACGTCTCGTATCTGTTAACAGAAATATTACATCTTATCAAGGTACCCAAGTTTTCCTAGATACGATAATTTGTAATCTTTTAAATATTCACCCGGTTCTTTCCCTAGTGTTTTCCTCAAATTCATTGATACTTCTAGCAATAATTTTTGCATCCGGTGGTTTATCAGATTCAAAAATACCAAAATTAACTACTTCATCTTCAAATTCTTCTAGAACTATTTCCAACTCATTTTTTCGCGTGTAATCGTACTTGAATACTACTATAGGTACGTTTGCAGCCTTGTCTTCATACTGAAAAATAAAAACTATGTAAATGAAATAGTCTTCAAAAATTTTAAATGAAAATTAATCTACTTACTGGATATGTTTTATTCGTGTACGTCGTGAAAATCGTGCGAAAAACGATTGCCTTGTTTCTAGAATTTAGTGGTGTCCATGCGATTGGGAAAATCTCGGTTTCATTTTCCGGTGCTGCGGAGGCGGGTCTATGACGACCCGCATAACTGCAAAATTAAATAAATTTAATAATAAATCTACTTTAGCAATAATCTCAATAAGTGAAAGTACCATTCTTCTGTGAAAACTGTTTCCGCATGCGGTAATTCTGGTTCACCAAACAATAGACTCATCAATTCTGTATGGACATTAACATCCGGTTTTTCTTCGGCCACTTTCAACCTCATAAACATACACTTGCCATCCACTACTAAATTCTTGTGATTTTGTGGCAATACGTAATCAGACTGCAGAAACATCAATTACATTTTAATTAATCCTTTATGTTCCTAATCATAAGTAAATTATTTTAGATACTTCATTGAAAAGTTTGTCGAGGATGTCATCATTAAGTCGCTTCCGTATTTCCTGTTCAACAATATAGTTCCCTGGTAGTATCTCTTCAACTAATTCTACATATGGTGGACTAGATTTTTTGTCCCTCTTATGGTCCTCTTCATCTTTGAAAATCCATGGATAGAGCAGGAGACAAGTTTCGTTTTTTAATGAAGTAGTTAAGTGAAGCATTTCTGCTTCGTACCGCGCCACTGCTTCGGCTTCTATATGTTTATTTAGGAGAACAGTTTCAGTATAAAAATTAATAGAAATTGCGGGGTTCTGAATCAATTTTTTTGAAACCTTTCCGAGCCTTCTTTGCCGCTTCTTTAGCTATCCTAGCTTCCTCGATCACTTTCAATTGCTTTACTTCTTCTGGACTTCTTTCCGACACTTTTAACGAAAATCTATAAGTGTATGATTTTAGCATAAATATTTTTTAATGTTTGACGACTAGAATTTTTATTATAATTATACATACTCATGTTCATCACCATTTTGCACCCTCTGCAATTCTGTTGTCAACATTTTCAGCAACAGCGGACACTGGGCGCCGAACATGAGATTTATCATCCGACCATTCTAAATAAATAATCGATAATATTCATAAGCCAAGATGATATTATTTTTTTAGCAGAGTAATTTAATTTATTTACGTGAATGAACATCCAAATCGGTTCGCTTTTTCCTTGGAAGCGCTCTAGATCCGTGATGCAGTCACACTTTGCCTGTGAATCCACGACAATAATAATTACCAAATAAAATTACGCTACAAACATCATAATAGAAAGTTACCGTGGCATAACTTAGCGCGTCTCCCCCGATCTCCATTTTAATTTTCTTCAGGATGCTCACCATCCCAGTGCATGGTCCGCTCCATTCCGAATAAACATCCACCACTGAGAAATGAATTTCGAAATTAACAAAACTGGGAATACAATTTTCCTATGCGTAAGGTCATTATGTCCCTATTAAACCGGTCTTCTGCAGAAGCTTTTCCCAGTCTTCATTATTTGAAATTTCGATTTGCAATGCCGCTGGTACCGTTTTCTTGGCCATTTTCCGCGAGGACTTCAAACCACCCTGCAAACAATTTTTTATATATATATATATTAATTACCCAGGATTTTTATTCTATACTGTTTAAAAATCGATTTTTCTAAGTTCGCGACGGAAGCGCGCAAGTACCCTTTTCCGGCGCATCATGTTTGAAAGAGTTACTACTTTCTTTAGACTCGATTGCAACCGCGTTTTCTTTGATCTATCTTGGTCGAGGCTCAGCGAGAAACTGTAGAAGCCGGCACATTTCTAAGACCATGCCTTTCGGCTTACAGGACGGGGACATCGGTGACATGGAGGACACGCAAACTTTACCGATTAAGTCGGCTACCAGCTACACAAATACACGCACAGATAATTACAGTGCACCAGAGGATCGGGCATTCCACGACAAGAATTTCCTATGCATTTCACCCGACATGAAATATGAATCTTCGGCAGGACTCGGGGTAATTATAGCAACCTGTTCGGGTATTGTACTTTATAAGTCTCTGCAAGATTTATCGAGCCGCATGAATAGCCTAGGCATCATGCTTCTTCGAGCTAGCTCCGGTTAAAAGATATAAATTTAATCGGTCTACGTATTAAATCGATTATGTGACAGGTAAGCCAATTTTTCCCTTATTTGAATGAATGACGGCGCGACCTAATGTCTTGTTTCTGAGCTGTGATTCATAGTTGTAGATTTAACCACTTTTTCGATAGAAGAATCAGGTTTTTTATTGTTAACAGAAAAATCACCGTCTGTAATTTAATCTGAGTATTTGTTTTGGAATTATTGTTCCGAGGAAAATTTTTAACATTCCTTTTGTTTTTTGTTTTGAAATAATTGTAGCAGAATTTTTGAAAATCGGTAATCTTCTTTCGGAAAAAGTGAAAAACAATCTTAGAGCGGCGGCAATGTATAAGAAGTTAAAAACAAATGTTTTCGATCCCATAAGATAACTTATATTCTATCATTAAGGGTAATTGTTGCACGGAATGACAAATTCTGAAGATAGAATAGCTGTGTCCATCAATTTTGCTTTTGACTGCAGCTTAATTACGTAATTACGAAGCGTCACGCAACATAAACATGCGAACCTAAAATTAGAAATGTTTATTTTCGCAAGCAATTTACAAATTGTGTTTAATGAAAGGCTTTGCTTAGATCTAGCATTTCGAAAAAATAAGTACGGTAAAATAAAGTATGGTGCAACACGCAGAAGCAAAAAGTGTTATTTACATTTAAATCAACGTGAAATGCATTTTAACAAATTGCATATAAATGTTAAAGTCAAATGAAATTATTTTTATTTTTCATATAATAATATTATTTGTTTTTAAACAAATATAATAATCAATGGTGGTGTTTGAATGAGAAAATGCAGAAGGTATTTAACTATATTCTTCAAAATATTTCTCTCTAATAAAAATTATTATATTTATTTTGTGTTCCATGGAATTATGTATATATTTAAATCAAAATGGTCACACACACACAGAGGTGCTTTCTCAATTTCATCTTATTACTTTTCAAACGTACCGCTTAAATTCAAATAAGTGTACTTAGAGATGGCGCTGATATCGATGACTATACATATGTACGAACATACGTTTCTTAAGAACAGTTTCTATAGTAATCCGACAATGAATACACCTCCATGAAAAAATATAATATCGATTTGTTCGATCGCTGTTTTAATAGTATTCCAGTAATGAATTTGGTTAAGCGGAATGCTTGGCTTTCATATTATATTTTTCACCAATGACATCACTGAATTTTACTGTATTATCCGTTCTCAGAAGTTGTAATAATTTAGAAACTCAAGGAGCATTTTGTTGCCTTGAAATACCATAGCAACATGTACTTATTAGATTGATAAACTGATGCAGTCATACCAATACCAGAAATTCTATATATTACAGACATATACAATATTATTAGAAAAATATTAATATCACTCTTTTTATAACAGGTGAAAAGTCATGATCAAATTGTGGTGACTTGTGTATAGATATCTTCACATTGGCAAAGCTCAAACTTCCACAGTTGTACTTACCGCTTTCAAAAATCGACTACCAAACACAGCCCTCTAGCGATAAATGTCACAAACTCCGTCAAATAATTTTAACATTATGAAATAACATCCTCAACAAAAAATAAAATAAAATTATTTTTACAAACGAAAATAATGCATCTGAATCCTATACTTTCAAAAATACATCTATAAATCCCTAGAACATACACTGAGATCATTGTCTCGACGCCTAAATGAAAGGTGTGAAAGGGTTCAGAAATTATGCAACTTGATCAAACTTAAAAATCTTTAAAATCACAACAAAGAAATGGTTGCGAAAAGTTGGTAGAACAATAGAATAATACATTAAATTTTGGCAATAAAGGGAAATAAGATTGAAAAAAAAAAAGACTGGAAATGTAAATTAGTCGCGAATTTGTGTCGTCATGATTTTTCTATCGAGTGTGACATCTAGCCGCGCTTCGGCTATCGTGATCGGCGAGGGTTCGTGGTTCGCTTTTCTCTTCTTTTCCCCTCCTTTCCCACCATTTCCTTATCTGAATCAGCTGATTATTGTTTTCGTATTTCCAACGAAACGGACCGTTGCTGCAGTTATGGTACGCGATACGCATTAACGGGCGACGGTATCCGAGGCATCCTCTTCGGCGGTTCGTAACGGCGAACGAATCGGACGATCTCCGTCGCAGCTCGAAACGTCACCGACGCGCTTCGTATTTCGAACAAAAAGATCGACGTTTCGCGGGCGGGGTGACATCACTATCGTTTTCTGGTCGTGTTGTGTTAGTCGCTTGCAGAATGACGCAGTAGAAGGTCGTTTCCGAGATGGCGAACTTCCCAGTATGAGGATACAGTTTTATGGCGAGGTAAATCGAACGTTCTGCGCTTTCTTCATCCTAAAATGATCGACACTGTAGACATCTGTTTGCTCGGTGAAGTAGTATAGAAATTGCGTGAAGCGAATGCTTTGTGACCCATCTGCCTTCTACCCCCTTTGTTCGACGAAATGTGAGGGTCGCTCGTTTCACGGCAAAACGTCTATCTTTCTCTTTCTGGGATCCTATGTGTTTTCCGATCTTGCTGGAACGATAGGAAAATCATCCAGGCATTCTTATTTGGTCGCCGTTTTGATATTTCCGGTTCGTATTTTATTAATTGTCCCTGAGCGTACAACACGAACAGCTGTACTGGATTGTGTAATGTTCTTTAACAGGCAAAATAGATTCTCCCACTACTTCCCCAACAACTTCGTTTCTGCGATATTCGACGCACCGATTGCTTTTCGGGTATTTTTCTTTGGCGTACCGATCCCTTTTGTTGCTGCATTATATTTAAATAATGATCACGATTTTTTTCACCCGATTTGTTTTCTTATCGTTATCTACAATACTATAATTATTATTAATAGAAACGTGTGCGTTGCATGCACTTAATTTTCTTATAATGAATGGAAATTTTCGCGCGTAGTAAGTGTTACCCGAGTTTCGTTGGCATATTTTTTCAAGTTTTTCCGAGAGATTACTTTGAATGTGCGTAGTTGTGTTTCGTTTAGCAGAATTGATAGTCAACTTCGCTTTTTTAAATCGTAAACGAAGTATTCATTTATTTTCTTTTGTAGTGTATCATTTGTACAAGCTATGGGCAGGTAGATGAATGTTTAAATGCTATTTTAAATTAACATTTAATCGCTTGTATGTAAAAATGCTTTTATTTACAGCGAAGTTAATGCTTTTTTAAATAGTTTTAAAAATTATAACACTTCCTTCATTTTTTAAAATTATAATAACATATTCGAATTATAAATTAAGTATATAATATTTTTTCGCATGGGATATCATTGTTATAAATTGATATGTTTCTTTCTAGGTAAATATATAGAGTTTGGAAAGAAAACATGTCTGCAGACTCTCCAAGGCGCGGTGTGCATAAAGGAGCTCAAGTTGTGTCACCTCAGCCAATAGTAGATCGATCAATAATAGATAGCGTTGCTGATATTATCAATGATATAGTTCCACAGGTTGGTCCTTCAGGTCATTGTCGTTTTTAACATTCTTTCATTGAAAATATATTTTATCTTATTTATGAGCAGGCTTATACCAGCACACTCAATTCTGATAACAAGGAATCTATAACATGGGCACGCTTTGAGTATGCAGACATTAATGATCCAGTTTTATATCCAGACTACAATGAAGGCTCTAATACACCACCTTTATTACTGGTGCTTGGTTATACCACTGGGGTTCAGGTCTGATTTTTTTTCATATTTAATCAACTTTCAAAAAATTTCTATTTGCGTAATTTGTTTTATAAAATTCAGAATCGTTGGTGTATAGAATATCTTATTTTTTTAAGAAATTCACAAGTATTCTAACTGCATAGAAATCGATAGAATATTTCAATTCAAATTTTTTAATGCATTAAAGCGAAATGCTAAAGGTGGTTCATGCATATACATAATTGCTAATTTTAGTACTTTGGTACTATAGCACCAGAAATTGTAAATGCAGCTTTGTTGATACATATAAGTTTGTACCCATCTATATTCGTTGTTGAATCGAGCAAATATTTAAGAATTACCTAACTGATTTTTTCGGATTTCCGCACCACATTGTGCATTAAAGTTTATTTTATGCAAACGCAGGTGTGGCTGATAGCAGCAACAGGAGAAGCAACAGAAGTGTTATCATGGCGACAAGGGGTGGTCCGCACTCTGAGAATTTTACCAAATCCAAAGACTGACGATGAATGTATCGATCTATTTGAGTCGAAACGGCCGTTAGTGGCAGTGTGTGATTCAGCTGGACCTGGTCCACAGTTCTGTAATATTAGCTTCATATCGCTTAAGACGGGAGATCAAGCGAAAAGCATCAAATTTAAAACTCCAGTTTGCGACATTTTGGCGAACAAGCGATCCATAGTAGTCACATTTCTAGAAAAAATTGCAGTGTTCAACGCTCGGACTTTGGAAGACGTTTTAACAGTCACTACCTGCTATGCCAGTCCTGGTCCAAATCCAAATCCTGTCGCATTAGGAACAAGATGGCTTGCATACAGGTGAGAGGACACACGTGTAAACGTTACTCTAAAGAACCGAATAAATTTTTTAATTGCTTCACCATTATTTCTAGCGAAAAGAAATTATTACCAGCGAAAAGAAGCAGCGGCGGCTGCGAAGGAGAAGGAGTTCAAAGTTACACCGCGACTGTCCTCTACGCTGCGAAGTCCTTGGGCAAAGGATTGCGCGGTTTAGGAGAGACGGTCGCGTCCAGTCTAACTGGCAATTCAGCATCGCTTATAGTCGTCAATAATAGTGGCAATGATATGACTCAACCGGGTGTGATAACGATTCTAGATCTCCAAGTTGCAGAGGAGAAGGAACTAGACGACCCAAACGTAGAAACTGTAATTGCTCATTTTACTGCCCACAGCGACGCTATCGTTGCCATGACCTTTGATTTGAGCGGCGCATTGCTGCTGACCGCTGACAAAAGAGGGCATGATTTTCATGTATTTAGAATTCAGCCGCATCCGGGCGGCCCCACGTTAGCTGCAGTACACCATTTATATATTTTGCATCGCGGAGACACAACAGCCAAAGTGCAGGTACAATGAATTTTAATACTTTGAACTCTGTTCGAGGCGACATGTGGCAACATGCATAATTTGTCGTTTTCACTTGAAATATTTTTTGGTCATAGGATATGGTGTTCTCCAGCGACACCCGTTGGGCGGCAATTTCTACAGTACGGGGCACCACCCACGTATTTCCGGTTGCTCCCTACGGTGGTCCAGTGGGGGTGCGCACCCATTCCACACCTCATGTTGTAAATAGACTTTCGAGATTTCATAGAAGCGCTGGTTTAATGGACGATGGTACCAGATCTCATTCACCTGTTTCCCATTCAGAATTGCCTTTGTCGGTGTACCCTTACTCTAATCCAAGACTCCCTCCATATCCTCACCCAACCGTATTGCATCCATTGGCCCAAATACGGCAGCAGTCTACGTTGAACTACACGAACAGTCAACTTCAACAAAGGTATTATTCACAATAGAATCACAATAACACTGTATATCAAATTTAAGCGCTGGAACCACCAGCAGATTATTTTTACTGTTGCTTGCGGTCTAAACTTGTATTTATGATATTTTTCAGCAGACCGCAACAAAGACAACGATTGCATTCGGACGATAGTACGACTCTACCACTAAAAATTTGCGCTTGCTTCGCTCCTCCGAGAGCATGGATGTATGCGCAAAGAGAGTCCACCGCCAAAGTGATGAAGAGGGCGGTGGATTCCTTGTTCATCATGGCGTGCCATGGAAATATGATACAATACGACCTGGAACCGAAACCAGCAGCAGGTGAACACTCTTATCACTTTTCAAGAAATCATTTAATGTTGTTAAACACTTCCGGAATTTAAAAAATAATGGTACTTTACAGGTGTACCAAAAGAGAAAGTGTGCGATGACACAATGATCGAATTGGAGGTCGAGGCAAAGGGCCAGTGGCCTTTGATAAGATCTCCGAATTCTGTTGAAATCGTGCCACCTTTACCGACATCCAGTTCTCTGCTGAGTGTCGCGACTTTACCAAAAGGCATCCAAGAGATGGACTTGGCGGAGGATCGGTGGTTGAGTCAAGTGGAAATCGTGACACATGCTGGTCCCCATAGACGGCTTTGGATGGGTCCACAGTTTGTCTTTAAAATCTACAATGCGACCAGTGGGTTAGTTCCTCAGAATACTTACATGGGCTACAAAAGTGTTTGTACACCTTTTAAAACGTAATAACTTTTTTAAAACTGAACTAAACGACTTGAATTTTTTTTAAACGATAGAAGGATTAGTTTACTAGACGATGACCAAAATGCCATTTTTTAATTTTACTATTACTTGGAATGACAAAAAAGAAATAAAATATTCTCGTTTTTTAACTTTTTTATATAATCTATTTCATAGATCTCGGTAACTTCTATGCATGCTGAAAAGGGCCTAGCCAATTCAGATGGTCAAAATTGCCCATAGAGATTTCTTTGATGAGTACAGTACCGTTCGTAAGAAAAACTCATCTGTGCAAAATTTCAACCCTGTAACTTGTCAGTGGGGGTAGCTATACAGTAAAATAGATTGTGCGCTTTTTCCCCCTCTGGTGACCATTTAAAATTTTGAAAAAAATGTGGCTTATTTTGGACAATAAGCCGCATATTATAGAATTTTTTCATATTTTTCATTTGTAAACTGTGGTTATAAGAAATGGAGAACCAAAAAAAAATCCGAGATTGAAGATTTCTCGAAAACAAAAATAGGAGTCTTTTTTATATCAACAACCTAATAAGGTATTATCAGAAGCAGTGTGCTTAATTTTTCTCAGATTTTTCGTTCGGCTGCGTCATTGTCAGAAAAAATGTAAACCGAATTTGTCGTCGGTTTTGCTGTTAGGAAGAAAATTACTACTTGTGAGTTTACCACAAGTATAAGTTATCATTTTAAACGTTATTACATTAAAACAAGCAATTTTTTAACTTAGAAAATGCGATTTAAGTGAAAGAAAAAATTGTAATGTGCACATTCCGATATATATCTAAATATTCATACATGTTTAACATCTTTGGTTGGCGGAGTGGGTAAGGTGGTCGACTACAAAGACACTACACTAAGATTCGTGACCCGTTGGAGACAGATGTTTTTTTTTCATAAAGCAAGCTTTATTTTTCCAATTTCATATCACATGGTTTATTCGCATGACTTTAAAGACATTTTTTTAATGATTAAAAATATTTTTTTTTCGTCCTAGAAACCGATTCTCTTTTAAGACTTCGTTTTACATTTTGAGTATATTGGATCGATTTGTCAGTATATATCAAATATTAAAACAAATATTTTTAAATAAATTTAAAATAAAAAATTAAAATAAAAGTTAGAAAACGAGAGATTTTTATTTTTTTTTTTTGCCATTTTAAGTAATAGCAAAATTTAAAAAAAGCTTTTTGCTCATCGTCTAGTAGGCTAGTCTTAATATCATTTAAAAAAAATTCAAGTCACTTAGTCCAGTTTTTTAAAAATATATATACATAACACTTTTGTGGGTCACTGTAAATTATGTCTATTCGTACTGGCATGTATTGTAATTTAATGGTTTCCAAATAATTGCAGAGCACCCGTAAATCTGGTCGAGGCCGAAGCCATTGAAATTGGCGTAACTGGTGGATCTCGACCAGCAAGATCAAACCCTATGAATATGCCGCATACCGCATCCAGATCGTTGGTACCCGTGGTAATCGATGGATCAGGAAGTAAGTCTCAAAATCAAAAAATTAATTTCTATTCAAAGGAAATGTTACACCAAATAGTGGACAATTCATCGCAACGAATGATTGATCTGCGTGATGCAATTATTTGCTTGATTCCATTAATCATATTGTTCGAATAGACAATTGGGTTATCTTATCACGATTTTAGCCTCCATTTTCACTATTGTTGCAAATTTATCATCAAGATTGCATTTCCTGTTGATGTATCAAGATCCAATTGTGCTACTTTTAATAATTGGAGTTAAAATAATAATTATTTGTTATTAACTGTTTTTATAAAATTGATTTTCGAGTGTCTTGTGCATGAAAAGAATGTTCGCAGTAGTGTAAGAGTCGACGGTTAACGGCCGAAGCGTCCGCGAGTGCGTTACGATTTCGGAGCGACCTCCAAAATCACAAGAACCGATGGGTGCTAGCGGACTCCCGTGCGTTAACCCCACGTGACGTACGTGTGCGTGCATACGTGAACGTCGCGATCTAAACATCGCGACGCTGCTAGGACGATCGGTGAGCGTTAGGCACTGGTCGAACGAAACGGCCAAATTCGAAAAAAGAATCGTAACGTTCGGCCAGCGCACATAAAAGGATGTGCTCGCAGGGCACGAGGCAGAACGCGACGAACATCGACATTATATACCGACAAGCGACATATACATCGACAATTATATAACGAACACGGCTTACAACTTCGGCGTGCGAAGAATTACGAGAATTATTGTACATTGCTTTTCTGTCTTTTTGTATTGTAGTGTAGTAGTTACTGTTTTTAGTGATAATTATATTATATTATATATATATATTCAGATGTGTTTACACAAATATTTGTGGAGCATGTCGATTGATTGTCTGACCTGTTCATCTATTTTCCAGGCAGTTATGAGCAGTCACCAAGGTTCATGGAAGCCTATGGAGACTTAGATGGCGAGAACGCGAGTGTCTGCGGCGGGGAAAATCAGCTGCGAGAGGACCTGGCCGAGGCGATGTTAGAAACGTCGATTGCCCCTCATCGTGCGCCAGGTAAGTAAGTTTGCTCGATGAGGTGTGTGGAGTTTTGTTTTGAAACAGAGAATTCTCAACATCCTGACGTGTCCTATTTGTCGACGCTCACATACTTTCATATTTTATACGCTGGATTCGTAGCAACGAACAATAAAACATTTATTAGATATAATCCGAAATATTCGATACGTTTCTGAGCATCTGCGAGTTCACGTGGATTGTAACACGTTCTTACAATCGAAGAATCTTCCTGCTGAATGCAGTATAAATTCACTTAAATAACATAGATGAAATTGCTCTCCGCAGGGAGAAACAGTTCTATCTATGTCGATCGTTCACACTCTTTAATACCACACCGTTAGAAAGTTCTTTCTCGCGTTGTTGCTGAAAGAAAAAATCGGCGTGTAATTGATACTAATCTGTTGGCATCTCGTTGGAACAATGCCTGCGAGCACAAGCGTCTATCAATAGATGCAGTGGCTGCGCTTTCTGCATTTGGTGACGGATGATTGTTAGATTATAAGTATGCGGTGGATACAGAACTGGCCAGAGGCAGGTATCTCCGTTTTCCTCCCTTGTAATGAGGTTCTATATTCATTATATATTTCTCTCTCTTTATATATATATATATACTTCTAATTATTAGCAGCAATGTATATGTCTCTTTTAACATTTATCCCCCGAGTCGAAGTGAACACTTTGATAAAGGCTGAGGACAGTCTACTAATTCTGTAAGAGTATCTCTCTACATTCTTTTTTTTATATTTTTGTTTTATTAATTCACGCAACATTTCCAACGTCGAATAACTACACAAGCACCCAGTGCTACTCTCTTGTACCATTCAACCCCGAGAATGCAAAAAGAATATAAAAGCGACGAGGCTTGTGTCTTTGTGGTGTGCAGTGTGAAAACAACAGATCCTAGAAAAGCTCTTTTTACCACTCTGCCTTTACACGACACTCTCCGTTCATTCTCACGACTACCCCTCTCATATGACATTCCACTACTACCAAGAGAAACATCTAGTCCCAACACACGCAACCTCACAAAGACCAAAGAAATGAATGAAACAAAACGAGAAAGTTTTTACGAAACTGGAGAAGTTCTCGCTATTGATACCTGCCAATGGCTTTTTCTGTTACTAGGGAGGCGATCGGTATTTGAGAGGGTGGGTCAACCGGTAACTAAAGTCGTCAACCCTCTTGGCACCGTGATTACCGTGTCGGCCGACGAGGAGGACGTAAACTCCAGTCAGGAGTTCGACTCCGCGGAGGAGAGCCACGTGCCGGAGCCGCCGAGGAGCGTGTGCGCGGAGGAGGGTCCTGCGTCGCTCGGCGACCTTGACCTGGACCAGGAAAGCCAGACCCTGCGTGATCTTACAGAGATCTGCGCGGAGAAGCGTTCGGCGAGCGAGCCAGCGATCGACAGTGTCCCCGACGAAAACATTCACGAGGTTAAGGAGAGGAAAGCGCTCTGTGTGGAGATGGCAGCGATTGCCAATCCCGCCGGCAGTACCTCCATAGATTTTGAGAAGGAAGAGGTGTTCAGGGATGTTCCTACCAGCTTGAGCTTGTGCGTGGAACCAGGCGAGATACCCAGCAGCCCTATGACCCGGGCGAAGGAGACTGCCTGGTGCAAGAGATTCGACAAGAAGGAGGAAAAAGCACACGAGAGGAGCATGTCTGAGGCCCAATACGTGGTCAGTTACGACGACGAGAGCGTCGTGCTAATGGAGAATAAGCTGGCTCGCAGAGGCGTCTCGCACTGCAGGAGGTCAAGCGAAGCGAAGAAGAAGAATGGAGGTTCTTCTTCGGGGAAGAAGGTGGAGCCCAAGACCTCGGTGAAGAAGTACGTTCTTAAGGAGCATGAGGACAGTATTGTTATCGAGGACACTTCCTGTGAGGATGCTAAGAACTGTTATAGGAGGAAGGATGAGAAGCTTGGAAACGCTGGGGAGGTTAAAGGAAAATGTACTGAGAGCAAGACTGCTGCAGAGAAGGAGTCGAAGGAGAAGGATAACAAGTCCAAAGTAAAGGCTAAGTGTTCTTCTACAGCGCAGGATAAGAAAGAGGCGAAGGCTGAGCTCAAGAAGTCTGAGAAGAGGATGGAACCGATCGTGGAGCTTGAGAGTTCAGCGGAGAAAAAAAAGGAGGAACCTAAGGTGGATGTCGCAGCTGACTCCGATGCCTACAAGTATCCTCCATCAGACTCGACTGATGATTTTAGCTCCAGCGAGTACCACATAGTGGAGACAGCTTGCTGTGGGAAAGATAATACTCTGGTTCCATCTGACGAGGATATTGAGCACATTCAGAGCTCCGAGATCACTCAGCTGCAGCAAGCAGAGTGCTGCGAGGGTGACAATTGTGGGCACGGTCTGTACTGTGAGAACCCTTCGCCAGTTCTGCAAAGAAAAAACAGTAAGAACACTATATCCGATGATGATTTAGAGTACATACATACTTCGGAACTGATCGAGACTTCTGATAGGAAGAGCAGCGATGATCTGAAGCTAGAAGCTGAGAAGGAAAGCGATCGTGACTCGAATGCTAGTAAGCGTACCTTCTCCGACGATGATCTCGAGCACGTCCAATACTCGGACGTCTGTGCTATGCCTGACATCAGCAATGATGAAAAAAAGGAGACGCAGGATCAGTCCACGAAATCGAAGAGTTCGAAGAAAACAAAGGATGTGGTAGTAATTGAGAGCGACACCATGGCTGCGGACGTTACTGTGATCATAAAGCCCGCTGAGAATTGGAAAAGCAAAGAGAAAAAGGAGGAGGAGGAGCCTGCGAAAGACCCTGGAGCCGAGAACTCTAGTCCTTTGAAGAAGATCAAGACACGTCAAAACAAAACATCCCCTTCCAACGTCGCTCCTAAAAGATCACCCGGTGAGATCGAGATCATCGACATAGACGCGTTGCAGAAGGCCGAGATGGAGGTCTTGACGGATCCCACGACCACTCCCGAGTGCAAAATCCTCTCCGGATCCGAGGTCACTGGTACTCGGATTAAAAAACTAAAAAAGTATAAAAAATCCAGTGCCGAAAGCAATCAGAGCACAGATATTTCCGATGCTAATAAGACCACCGACGACGGATTTGTCGTTCCTAAAGAAATGAGCTCACCAGAGAACCCAGAGTTCTCCTGGAGCTCTATTGTCAAGCGAAAAAGCATTTTCGTGGAGCTGAAAGACGAAAAGCTCCACGCTATAGAAGAAGCGGAATCTACAGCTCCCGCCAAATGCAGCGCTCCTGAGAAAGACCCTATGTACAAGAAAGGGCTCGACTCTTCGTCAAAGAAGGTGGCCAATGTGATCGACGAGCTTCGGGAAGCCGTGGCTGAGACGGACTCCAAGGATTCTGGTCAAGACTCTGCTTGGAGCAACATTGTCAAGAAGAAGAAGCTCGAGGATAAGAACCTCGATGCAGCTCTTAGCATAGAGGACACCGACGACAAGAAGTCTCGGAAGAGCGAGTCCTCGACTCGGGAGAAGTTGCGAGAGCTCGGAGAAGAGGACACTGAAGAATCCTCGGGGCAAGTCTCCTGGAGCGACATCGTAAAGAAGAAAAACAGCTTCTCGCTGGAAAGCGACGCGAGGAAGCACATTGACGACGCGGAGAGGAAACTCCGTCGCAGACACGTGGGATACGTGTCCTCGAAGGAGCTCGTAGCTCTGCTTGTAAAGAAGCCGAAANCGAAGAGGGACAATGAGGTCGCCGGTACTCGGATTAAAAAACTAAAGAAGTATAAAAAAATCCAGTGCCGAGAGCACACAGAGCACAGATATTTCTGATGCTCGAAAGAAGCATCGACGACGACGGATTTGTCGTTCCTAAAGTATTGACCTCACCTGAGAACCGAGAGTTCTCGTGGAGCTCAATTGTTAAACGAAGAAGCGTTTTCGTGGAGCTGAAAGGCGACGAGCTCCAAGCTACAGAAGAAGCGCTATTGCAGCTTCAAAGACAAGGGGACAGAAACTTCCATCTTCGCGGAAAAAGAAATAATAGCACTATGGATTTTTGCTAAGATTGAACGAAGAACTTGTGTAACACGTTGATTCTGCTGAAAATTTTCACAGCAAGTTAGTTATGTTTCTAGTTGCAACAGTTCTGTCTCCTGGAGCGACATCGTAAAAAAGAAAAACAGCTTCTCGCTGGAAAGCGACACGAAGAAGCATACTGACGACACAGCTGGAAGAGAACAACCGAGCTTCCAGCTGGAGGAAAGGAAACTCCGTCGCAGACACGTGGGATACGTGTCCTCGAAGGAGCTCGTAGCTCTGCTTGTAAAGAAGCCGAAACCGAAGCCGAAGCCTCTGCTGCCTTCTGCCATCGAGGAGAAGGTCCGCAGGTCGACGATCCTCTCCGAACTGCTGGACAACGACTCCAATCGCGAGTCCAAGCCGGCTGAAGCTGCGGCGAAGACTGACACAGTCGAAGAGCCTCTGTATTGCCCTCTCGTGGACCTCTCCAGCCCCGCCGAGCCGGAGGAGAAGAAGGAGAGATCCCCCAAGCCGGAAGCCACTGACAAGGACAAAGACGACGGAATCCTAGAAGCTGACCCAGCATTCTCGAAGGAGGACTCTTCGGAGCCGGAGAGGGATCCCGAGAAGAGGAGCGACTCCGAGCAAGCGGTTGCTCCCAAGCGCTGGAACTCCTCGGATGAGTTGAACGCGAACGTCGTGTTCGTTGATGGGGATTTCTCGAGCCGCGAGGTGGTCGAACGAAGCGTAGACAGCGGCTCGAACCCCTCGGTAGCTATCCCCAAGAAAGGCAACAGGCCGAGGCAGAAAAAACGCAGATGAGTGGAGGATTGCATGGATGTACCTAGGGCCAGCCTTGCCCTCTATATTCTTCTGATGCAAGTCACCGGAGCCGACTAGCGAGAATTCCACCCGGGAACTCGCCTGGTTCCCGAGCAAACTATCACGTTACCTTGGTGATCAAGCGTAATAGCTGACAGAGAGGGAGAGAGAGAGTGTGTGTGTGTGTGTGTGTGTGTGTGAGAGAGAGAGAGAGAGCGCGAATGATTGCTTAGATCCTCGGTCCATCAAAGTGTCCTGATTATGGCGAAGAGATCTGGTATTTTTCGAGAATGTTTTCTAAAGAGGTATACTCGTTTGGATGAGAAGTAGATTCAGGAGTGAAATTGATCAGGATACTGGGAGGATGACATCTTCAAGGTAACGAGGGCAAGGCTGTTCTACCGGATGTGCATGCGCCATGTTCGAACCGATCAAACGAACACGAAATCCCTATGTAACAAAAAGCAACTCCGTCTGTGGTTTAAAACCGATTTCATAACTATTCTTTTGGCTCCTCGACAGTTCTGAATCGTCGTCGAGCTAATTCGGTCCACTCTATGGGCGCTGTCCGTGTGGTGCATACATGAGTTACAATAAGATACTGATTTTCTAGTTTCTAGCTGGTTGTATGATTTAGACACGTAATTCGGACGATGCAGATGTTGAAATCGCGCGAGGATCGCACGGTCGCGATTAGGTCACGGTTTTCAGTTTGCACAATACGTATACACTCCTCCCGCCCCCTCCCTCACCCCGCCGTATAAATCTGTCACCCGGAGATCGTTTACTATCTTCTTTATGCCACGCCGAGACCGAAATGCTTTCCATGAAAGCCGTCTTGCGAAAATATTTATGATTCTTCGAGAATTCGAGCATTCATCCCAAATCGTCATTTCTGGATCAGGATCTATAGTCGCTAAAGGTTTCGGGGACGGTTGGTGGTTCTACGCGTCATTTTCACGGGACAATGTTTGGTTATAACATGGTGACTTTGATGAATTCTAGAACAGTTTCTCATTAAATATTCGATTATTTTCCTATCTGAAATTGTTAATTTTCGGAGGTGGGAATGAAAATTTGTCACACTATTCTTATTGCTCGGAGACTATTCACAGTAGGACCATTTGAAATTGTGGAACATATGTGGATAATATTCTATATTAATGTTCCATATTTCCAGTATCTGTGCCGTAACGAACATTTTTTTAAAAGAATGAGCAAGCAGAGCTACGAGCTCCTTCGAGGACACGTATCCCACGTGTCTGCGACGGAGTTTCCTTTCCTCCAGCTGGAAGCTCGGTTGTTCTCTTCCAGCTGTGTCGTCAGTATGCTTCTTCGTGTCGCTTTCCAGCGAGAAGCTGTTTTTCTTTTTTACGATGTCGCTCCAGGAGACAGAACTGTTGCAACTAGAAACATAACTAACTTGCTGTGAAAATTTTCAGCAGAATCAACGTGTTACACAAGTTCTTCGTTCAATCTTAGCAAAAATCCATAGTGCTATTATTTCTTTTTCCGCGAAGATGGAAGTTTCTGTCCCCTTGTCTTTGAAGCTGCAATAGCGCTTCTTCTGTAGCTTGGAGCTCGTCGCCTTTCAGCTCCACGAAAACGCTTCTTCGTTTAACAATTGAGCTCCACGAGAACTCTCGGTTCTCAGGTGAGGTCAATACTTTAGGAACGACAAATCCGTCGTCGTCGATGCTTCTTTCGAGCATCAGAAATATCTGTGCTCTGTGTGCTCTCGGCACTGGATTTTTTTATACTTCTTTAGTTTTTTAATCCGAGTACCGGCGACCTCATTGTCCCTCTTCGAGCTCATTCTCACGGCAGGTTTCTTAGGATTTTTTTCCATCGGCGCTCATCGATAGTACAATTACTAATTAATTTTACACATCGACAGCTGACCCAAGGTGTACAGAAAAAGGATCACGCCTGCATCGTGTCACGGTTGCACGCACTTCCGCGATACTCACAAGAATAGCGATTTAAAGTGTCTTACGAGGTTGATCCCGTTGAATTCGAAGGATTTCCGTTGATTTGTGATTTACAAATCTTGCGAATCGGGTGCAAGTTCACCGGTAATTATATTCATCCTAACCTTCGATCACATGAATTCATAATGCGTATGATAATTGGACGTGTGTTGTATAATATCGATATGCATAAAGCAATTTCTTGCATTGTACGCGCGCAAGAATCCGCGGACACCGGGACCCCTGTCTACCGTTGTCGAAAGAAAATGGCCGCTCGAAGAGTCACCGAAATGGTCGGCGAGTCTAGAACACGGCAGTCTCTGTACAATCTTCTTTCCCTCCCAACTCTTCGCTCTCTTTTCTTGGGCTCAAAAATCTTGGACAGCCAAAACAGCGCGAGATTACAAGTGACTTTGACCTGTGCACTCTTCGACAACGGTACACCTGTGTCCCGTTTTATCCCGGCCAGTTATCTGTCTGGTCGAAGCTCTTTTTATTTATTGAATGTGCTAGTTTCGAGAGCGCGACGACGTGAACGGTAGCCGCGTTAGATTCGGTTTTAGGGATCGCGTATATGTGTTTAGGCTCCTCTAAGCTAAAACGTTCGGACGTAGGAGGTTTCTTCACTCAGTGTGTTCAAAGGTTCCAAAAAAACTTGACAGGTATTTCGTAGACGATCTAGGACTCCGTTCGTAGAGGAACGAGAAAGCAGACCTCGCTCGAGGATCAATTACTGTGCATCGACAGGGAGGTCTGCTCTCAAAGGTCGACTCTCAAGGTCTCTCTCGGTTGTGCGCAATCCCTGATTCAAACTGTAGCTTCGGTAGCACCGGTAGGCACGCTTCGTGCAGAGACAGTTCTTGATTAATGATGCAGGTCTTCATTACAAGGGGTCGCGCGTCGATCTATCGGCCACTTTCGAATCAATTCGCCGAGAACTTCTTCGGAAATGCGATGTCGATCGCGCCGACGACGTTACGCTAAAGTATTATCCTCCTTACGATCGAGCTAGCCTCCAAACTTCTACGTTTAGGGTGTCTGGGACAAAGATGATCTCTCAGACGGATAACACTGATCTCGACCTGTTAACCAAACGATCTTCTAATCGGAAACACGGGTAAAAGAGTAACTTATCCAACAATAACCATAAGCACGCAATCGTCGGCGGGTTTGAATACGACAGAACTTTTTCGGGTACACTAATTAAGGATCTAGAAACTCGAGGCCCGGGTCTCTCGACGTTAACAGGCTCGGAAGGTTCACCTTTTTTTACGGATACCCTTCGTGGATCGAATTGTATCTCTTAGAAAAATCCCGCGGTGTTTTTAAACGAAAGCAAAACAGAGAAACGATAAAAAAAATAAGCCAAAGATGTACGACTATATCAGTGTACGTTCAGCGGACTGCGGATTTTTACGCGAACATTTCTCGCGTCGCCTGCGACAGAGGTCACGCAAAAATGTACGTGTTCTCTTGATAATTTCAATCGATTGTTAATAACATGTGTAAATTCTGTAATCTTCCATATAGCTTCTATTGACGCGTACTGATTTGTCGGCGTGACTCATTTTAGCCACGACGTGATAACATTATCTTCTGTTGTTTCTACTTTTTAATCAAAGAAGTTGTGCATGAATTTTTCAATGAATCTCGAATTCGTTGTCCAAATCATATTCGTTGATCTCGAATTACAGAAATCGTTTACAACTGGTAAAAAAAAAATATTGGGCTACGGCGGTTTAAAGATTCGTAAAATTCTTGTCTCGTTTCGCAATTTCCGCCAGAAACTCCGCAGTCCAGCGATTAGGATGTAAATGATTTCACACGGAACACGTAGGCACCTGCAAGTTAACCGTTCAGCTTTAGATGAGAAAGTGGCCAGTTTTAATTAAGCAGGAAATCTAGATATAATAGACGTCGTTACAATTGTTCGACACTTCCGGAAGCATGGTGATGGCTGGATCTTTCGTTCGACTTAGTTCAATTTTTCCTCTGTATTGTCTCGACCCCTCCGTATTTATTTATTTCCTCACGACAAAGTCGGACTTCGTCGCACACGACCATAATGCGATCAGTATTTGCTCCGTTGGAACATGATTTTAGGGAAAATATCGAACACCTGATTCACTTTAAGACTCGTTGCTAGTACAAATGATCGACGACTAGAGACGTTCTGTTTCTTTTTTCTTTTTTATTTCGGCGAAATTACGGTGAGATTCTTTTTTTTTTAGTACAAAGCTTCCGTCGACGATTTCGTCCTCGCGATTACGCTCGCGAACATGCTGTATCGCTGCTACGTCGAGGAAAACGACCTTCGCGATCGCGTATATCTCTCTTTCCTCTTTCGACGTTCTTTCGCGAAAATAATTCTTCGAAATCACACCGATTCACCATGACTTTTATTATTTACCATCGGCAGCGTGCGGATTTTATTAATCTATAGTAACCTTGGTCTTTTAAAACTGGGTGCAGAAAATTGTGCAATAATGTAGACTGCAGATCTTTATGCACGATACAAATTTTCTATGTCGATCACGTGAAACATGAGACGTTATAATAGACAATTCGTTGTTTCTTTAAAAATCGTAGCTAATTAAATATAGTACCTTCTACAATTATTTTAATTCTTTTACCGTTTCAAGTTGCACGTACCCGTAAATGCGTCAAATTCACAGTATAGTAATGAATTTAAGAATATACATACATGTCTTTACAGAGTTACATTTAACTCTTGATTAAAAAAAAAAAATAGTGGATTCAAAGATTTTTATTCGTAGGTTCAAGTATTATCCCCGTAAGTCGCGTCGTTTATTGACACTAACTTTAACTGTAAAATAATAATTTCGTTAAGTGTAACTGTTGAATATCGATTAACGGAAAGGTTCATTTTGTTTCCACATAAGCTTAACAAGGATCGCGTTACAATTAGGATATGGTAAAACGGCGCCGAAGAGTTTCTATAATCATCCGCAATCTATCATAGACGCGTGTAATATTTCTGGAACACGACAGATTTCTTTCAAAATCGAAGCAACCAAGAAATTCTGCAACAAGATGAAACGATTCGCGCCCGACAATGATCGCGCGGATAGTATTCCTCAAAGACAATATCATTTATCATTTATCGCTTCTGGATCGTTCGGGGAAACAATTTTCCTGGACCAACGAGCAAAATTGTCTACGAAGATAAGCGAGCGCACTCGGCGTCGACTGCGTTGTCTTTCAGCTTCGATCGCTATAACAATCGCGGATCGATGTGTGATCATCATTTCTGCAACATTGTTCGCCCTTTCCAGCGTTTCTAGACTGCGGATTTTATACATCCCCGACAAGAATATGATCTATATTCATTAAAATTGACTGTTGCACTATTTTCCGACTCATTCGAAATTGCGAGAAAAGGAGATTCATCTGGATGCAATTTACTTTTTTCGTGTAATTAGCTTAGAACATTTTTATTTCGCGCAGAGATCCGCAGTCTACTAATTACGTTTACGTGTTTCATCTTGCGTATCGAGCACTGTGCAATAATTGGGGGAACGAGTTTCGTCTAAATTTTGAAGATTTTCACATTGAGAGAGAGAGAGAGAGAGAGAGAGAGAGAGAGAGAGAGAGAGAAATTTAATTAACAAGTATGATAAGGGGCGTATTCCACAGTATTCCCCTCCATTCATTAACTTTGATTACCGCCAATTTCGCGGACGTATATGTACATCTGTTTAACGATCAGGGTTGTGCGGGTTTACAATTGAGTCACTCAAGGAATTCTAATCACATTGCAATTCAATCACATTTTGATTCGTAACTCAGATCTCCAATTGGAGTGTAATTACAAAATACAAAGCAATTGAATTACATTAATTACGATGTAATCGAATTAAAATTACGAATTACTATGTAATTGAATTAAAATTACGAATTACGATGTAATTGAATTAAAATTTCGTATTAAGATGCGATTGAATTAAAATTACGAATTAAGATGCGATTGAATTGAATTTACGAATTTCGAATTGTAATTGAATTGAAATTGCGAATTGCGATGTAATTGAATCGAATTGAAATCGGAGCTAATTAATGCAGAATAGAAGTAATATATAATACGTGAGAAAAATGTAAAAATGTACCTGACTTCATCAAAATTTTGGACTTCAATTACATTCTATGCCAGTTGCATTGCACTTCGATTTTATTGTATTCGAATTGCCCTCGTGGTCGAAATAATTAGCAATCGAGTCAACTAAAAGGTTTGAATCATGTAAATGAATTACTATGTAATTGAAAAAAATAGAATGTATGTAAATTGGGAAATTGAATTAGCACAACTTTGGTAACGATACAGATTTCGAACGAACGAACGAACCACAATATTGTTCCGAGTATTAATCGTAGATGAAACTGGTACCTATATTACTAGAGCATAAGCGAAGGACACACATTTTCATCCGTTTCGGGCATCAATATTTGAACGTCGTCTCGTTTGCTTCGGGATCATCGGAACGAGTAGGCGAATGCCTGTGTCTAGTGCTCTCTAATTACGAGTGTAGGCGGCGAGAACCATCGATACTCTTCAAGCATGCACCTTCGACCTTAGTTTCGATATTTTAATTTACTTTTTGTGCTTACCTTTTTGGTACATCCGTGTCGTTGGCAAAACTAACGACACGTGGTCTCTAACAGCGGAACGATTCTGTTCCCACCTCCGTTAGGTATACTACTCGTTAACGGTGTATAACGTATGCCGCGGGGCGCATACTAGAGTGTAATATAATTCTGTATATATAAATAAGACGTTAATGACGAAACGATAAGTATAGTTCTCGCGCGACAAGAAGGCCACCTTTACGTCGTTTACATTGAAAGGTACAAAGGTGCCTTCTTGTCGCGCGAGGGCTGCACACGGATACGCAAACGAAAAACAGAAGATTGTACGATGTATTAAATAACGAGAAGAGATTATTTAACGTTTCATATCGAGAGATCGCCGAGCACTGTTTCGGTTCAGCAACCATTTCTGCGAAACAAAATGAACGTAAACAGATTTAGTATTAACGAGAGTTCGTCGTGTGAAGATCATTCAAATTTCAGACAAACTCGCCGCGAAGAATATTGTTAACGAGCCATTGTACGTTTAGTTGCAGTTACTTCTTCGTCTGAATGCGTGTAACGAAAGCGAAAATTAGGTAAGCGGAAATTAGGAAAGCTCTTTTTCTTCTTCTACTACTACTACTACTACTACTACTTCTTCTTCTACTACTACTACTACTACTACTTCTTCTTCTATTTCTACTTTCTCTTCTTCTACTACTTTTTCTATTACCTGTTTGCGAACTACTAAAGAGAGTACTATTTATTTCCGAACGATTTAATTTATGGTTAAATAGAGAAAACGTATTGTGTTCCGAATTGTGCATAGCATAGTAAGATCAACTTCGAAGTTTGTGTTCGAACGTGATCCGAGATCTCAATAATTAATTCATAGCAAGCTTCGTGTACATTGTAGAGAATTTTTGCTTACGACGATTCGATTGTACGTGGCAAGGTGCATCGTTCTGTGTATAATCATTGTACACCGCAAAGCAAAGTGCTGTTTCTTTTGTCTGCTTCATTCGGTCGTTCACTAAGCTCTGTGGATCTTTTTTTTTCAATTTATCTCTGATAATGGAAAATATTTATTATTGTAGTAATAGTTTTGCGACGAGAATTTTCGTTTAGAGAAATTCAACGTAAAATGTAGTTCGCAATTTTTCAATAGACCTTGCATCTTTATACGAATTTCTGTTTTCATAATGCATGGTTTGTCTTTACTGGAATTGTGTCGATATTCTATTTCAGCGACTCGATTATGTCCGACACTTTTCTTTTAAATAATAATCCTAAAAGCAATTATTAGGAGCTATAGGAAGCCCAGAATGGTTGATCTGTGATTTTTAAAATACTTTTAAGTCTTTGCCAGTAATCAGAATGTGAATCTTATGAAATCTGAAATAAGGAAGATATTTCTTTTATTTATTAGAAGATTCGTTATAATTGTAATGAACTGTTTATACGAGGATTGTTTAATGTCTTAAAGTGTAATCCGATTGTTAGAGAAGCCTAGCGACAGGTTTTTCCATGGCTGTGCTACATCTAAAAGAATAACTTCCTTCTAAAAAACAATCTTGTAAGAGATTATTAAAAAATACTGTGTGACTACAGAAATATTTACCAAGCCTGGAATTATTAATCTTTAATTTTATGGAATTTAAAATATGGTAAAATTTTATTCCATTGCGTAAAAGATTCTTTGTAGTCAAAATAGAATGAAGATAGTCAATTCTGCGAATAATTATGCGTTCTCTAGTGTTTTTTTTTCTTCTGAGTATAGAAGCATGAAAAAAACCATAATATGATATTATGGTGTTCGTATCGAGAGGTATAATTTAATTAATATATATTAAAAATTGAGAAATCAATTAAAATCAAAGATAGGTTTTAAATAGATGTGTATTATATATTCGTATATAATCGTTATTTCAATTCTTCAGTAAAAAAAGTTCTCGATTCTTAATCTTCGTAAGATTATTTATTTCTACTTAACTCGACGCATTTGTTTAAAAATACGAATCGAAGTGCAAAACGATCGAATAAGTAAATTTTAAGCCTCAATCATTGATGTACTGTTAAGTAACGATCTATAGTTAAAATTTCCACCAACGTTGTCTCAAATTCTCAATTATTTGTTCTTTACTTTTAGCGCGTTTAAATTTTCTACGAAATCGATGTTTATTTAACCCGAAACTAGAAAAAGCTGCAATTTAGTCTATAGATCGGAATTCTAAAAATCCTAGTAAAATTCAGTTCTTTCTAATACGTCGCAGTACAAATGAATTTCAAAACCTAGTCGAACATTATTATCGCTCGCATGCGACACTCGATATTATAGATTTTTATTACGAATTTTTACTACAAAATTCAAATGTATTGAAAGAACAATTAGCTAACTGTTCGAATGAACCTAGACCGTATTAGATAACTGCCAACAATGAAAGTGTCAAAACAACGCGCAGAACTCAGTGAACGACCCACGATAAAAATCGAAGAATTTGTCACCGTTGTTTACATTTCGCCCACGCTGTCTGTAACAATGAATCGACGCAGCTGATCGATCCAAGCAAATGATCGTTGTAAACTATCCTTTACGTCTAGAATAGATCTCGCTCGGATCGAACCCGTTTAGTTAGAACAATTCAACGAAAAACGACATTAGCGGATAACGAACGAGAAAACAAAGCAGAGGATGACAAAACTAACAAAAAAAAAAACGAATTGTGAATATTTTAAGTTTACACGTTGTATGTGAAAGAAACATTAAACGAAAAGAAAACACGTACGACGGCTCGACACTGTTCTTTCCACGGTATACCAGATTTTGGAGTGTTAAGGACAACAATAAAGAGAACAAAAGGAATGCGTTGTGACCGGTCTGAGAAGCGAAACGAAGCAAGCATCAGAGATTACATTATTATGATTCATGATTTTCTCGACGTAGCAAGTGCAGTGCAATCAAGTTTCCACAAAACATTTGATCGAGATCGATCGATTTTTTAAAACACAGAAACGATTGTGGTTCTTCGAGTTCTCGTTTCAACTATGATCGCAAAAATTGTACGAAACCGCGGAATGAACGACGAATCAGCTTTGCAGTCTAAAGTATATAAATTGTTCGTTAATTGTGCATTATAGATTTCGCTAAAGACCGTTCTGTATCGAATGTTGTACGTCAGACACGATTGTGGTTTTAGGAGGAGAATAAATATTTTAATGAATATTTTTTTACGCAAGATCAGGTTATATCTTACATTCTTTGAGATTTGGTATCGTAGCTTAATGCCGATTGGGTGAGTATCTGTAATAAAATTGTGTTTTCTCGTCTCGATGATGGTTCACAACTTTTTAGAATGTGTTCCGATTTGGTTTTCTACTTTTTTAAATTGTATCCAAGTGTCGGTTGAAAATAGCTAGAGGTTCTGTGCAAGCTTTGTTCCGATTATAGAAGAAAGTCACGCTTTCGAGTGTTTCCCCCGTTGTAAATTGTGTAAAAAAGAAACTTTGTTAGGAGAATGGTTTCTTAGTTGTAATATATTTGTTCGATGAATATCCATGTGTTTTATCTGTAATCCGTGAAGTCGATAACGCCGAGGTCAGTTCATGAATTGTACAAAATCACGTATCGATTAAGTCCCTCCATCCAGAGATTTTGGGCGATCAATATCGGCTTACCGAGTTATACTGATTTTATCTAGAGCGGCACTTCAATCGTTGTAGCCGAAGTATACGAAACGTGCTGTAACGAAACAAAGAAAAAGTTTGTCAACCATGATACGGATCGTGTATGCGTGTATGTGAAAAGAAGATGATCAATAAACTTGCAGAAAATTCGACGTTATCTCTCACAATCGTGTTATGCGAGTCGTACGCTTTGTAATGTAAGTGCACGTTACACACATGCATGTAACTGTTTCTAACAATTAGTGGGAAGTAGCGTTAAACGAATTGTGGAAAGTAATTTGGCAGAGATAGTGATTAATGGACTGCGTATATTTATGCAAAGTAAAAATGATCTTCGGCGAATGC